ATATATAGAGATATATAGAGATATATATATCTCTTCCCACTGGCCACTCAGTTATATACTATGCATGAATAATTATGAATAATTATGAGATAATGGGCTATGACTTGTTTTAAGATCTTGTCATCTGTACCTTAGTGCATTAACCCCATCAAAGAGGGAATACAGTGTAATGGAAAAAGTACTGAGTCAAAACCCTTCATGTGTGACTATATTATCTGTCCTACTTTTCTCACAGTACTATCGTGAGCACAAATAAGAACATTCTTGTAAAACCATTATTATTTTGCTACTCAACAGTGAGATGTTAATGTTTTAAAAATCTTTTTAAAAATTATTTATTTATTGCTAAATGAGACAGACTGTCTTTAGCCTACTTCTTAAGATATTTGCAAATGCTTTCAATTTGAATCTATAATGTTTTTTCTGCCCAGCCTGATCCTTAGTAACAATTAACAGTAATCTGTGAACCATCATTCTGAATATGGGCCCTCAAAATATGCATAGTATCTATGCAATGTACAGTCTAATTTGTATCTAACATATAAGACATGCTATATGACATCACATGAAGAACACCTGACAGAGCCAGTTCAGTCTATTGGTACAAGTCCCATGTATCAGATGAGGAATGCTTCTGTGAAATAATTTTAGTATAGCCTTAAACTGGTTTTTACTATTAATCACATTTTGCATGTTTCTTAAACATACGATAGACTACATAAGATCTATTCATATATTAACCCCAAAATACAATCACTCTAGCTTTTGCATTTGTATTAGGAATGTCTTGCATTCTCTTAGGAAAAGTGGTAGAGCAGCAGAGGACTGAGATGTCCTGAGACCAGGGTGGCAAGGAACAAAGCTACACTGCTAATTTACTGACCCATGGGTGGAGGCGAGTGCCCAGCCACTGACTGCCCTGACAGCAACAGAGAACGTGGTCTTCCATGACTTCTGGCCCCATGCTATAAAATACTTAACCCTGCATCCCTTTACATTATGTGGACCATGATTCCAGAATTTCGTTCCATATGTCAGTTTCTGGTGGTTGAGACAGGGACAGTGCTTTGAACTCACACTGCATCCTGTCTTCCTGGCTAACAGCCTTCCTGCCCTAGGTGGCACTACAGTGGGTTGGGGGCAATTAACTGTACTCCTGCCAGTGATTGCTTGCAATCCATCTATTCATCAATCCACCCATCCGTTCATCCATCCATTTATTTTTGGCAATGTGGGGGACTGAACCCAGGGCCTTCACACTGAGCTAAATATTTAGACATTCATTCATTCATTATTTATTTATTGTGCTTTTTTGTTTTTGTTTTTGTTTTGACAGGGCATCTTGCTAAATTGCTAAATTGCCCAATGTGGGCTTGAACTTGTGAACCTCCTGCCTATGCCTAGTGCTGGGATTATAAGCATGCACTATCACACTGGCTCAACTAAAACTAACTGGAATGCACTACCACAGTAGGGGAACAAGGGAATTTAACAGACATAATTCAAGAAAAATTCTGTAAAACATGTCTGTGCAAGTCACTCTAATAAGTGAAATCATTTAATGACTTTCCACAACGTCTAACAAAAGTTCACACTCCACTGTGTGGAATTCAATGCTTTTCAGTCAGCATCCAAAATATCTTTTGAGTCTTCTGGCATTTTTCCCTCCTGCGAGCCATAATCCAGCTGTACACAAGTACCTCCTACAACATATCCTGCAGTTCCCTATTCCTTTACTGGCTGCTTGGACTTTCTCATCATCTCCCAGAGAAAACATCTATTCACCCATGAAGGTTCTGTTGAAATGCATGCTCATTAAAATGCATGCTCCATGAAAGCAAGACTTTGTGTGTGCTTTCCAGACTGTTTTATCTCTGGAAACCACCCTAACATTCAACAAATATGTATTGAACTGAATGAATAAAGTGTGAGTGCATCTGTAAAGGTACTTTCCTTACTGCACAATACCCAAATTATTTACTCTCTGATCATCTTTATGCACTAATCTTTTAATATCACATTAGGATTACAGTTTTACATATGTCCCCTTCATTGGACATGAACTGGAAAGCAAGGATCAAATGGACTACCTCTTTTTATCCTTAGCTTCTATCACTTTACTTAGCAAACAGTTATGCAGTGCCTGAGGTTAACCTGTCTGTTTACTAAGTAAAGTGATTGCATGGGATTGGAAATCTAAATTCTGCTTCCCTTCTACATTTACTCTAGGAAGCCACAAAGCTAGGCAATGCAAAGACCCAGGAAAAAATGCCAAACTTCCTGAACAGTGATGAGCATACATGAGATCCATAATATTAACCAAACAACAATTTTTAGTAATGAGATGGTAAAGATGGCAAATAACAGATGAAACAGATGAAAACTGTAAGTAGTACAGTAAAACATGAGGCAAAAAGGCAAATAATTGTCTACTATCTTTACAAAAATGTTACCAAATGATTATTTGAAATTGAAATAAACAAATCGACCATATACAATTTGTTTATTTAATAAGAATTGTATTCTATGCACTGCATTAGTAGGAATTTTCTTTGGTGCTTATTATTGGAAATGAATGACATCATCATTAGAAATTTACTTGAGGGAGTAAAATTTAATAATCAAGCAACTTATGAATAGTAAAAGCTAAAGATTTCCCTTTAGGTGCTTAACAAAATCAAATCCAGTTTCCAATTATGCTGGCGACACTCCAAACACATGAAAATTCCAACGAAGTATTTCCTACCCTTGTGTTTCCCTTTTGAAGTTTCTCTCAAGTGTCATTCACATTCTGGTGCTCAAAATGCAAAAGGCTTAATTCTTAGTCAATTTAATTAGAAGTTACAAAATTTTCTTTTTCTTCTGGCTGCAAATGAAATGAAAACTCGGAAGCTTCCCTACATTTGTGTTGTTCAGCAACTCGGGGCAACAGATGATGAAAGCTGGTAAGTGGGCAACCATGGTCATCCGCACTCAAAAGACACTGGAAAGGCTGGCTGATGATGCTTTCTCCTCACCTACTTGAATGCTTGAAGTTTTGTGGAAGCAAAGTGCTAATTATATTTACTTTTAACTTACTGGTTGGAGAAGGTAGATGAGAGATTCCTCTTGGATTATTATAGTTGGCATGGGAACGATGTGAATGGCTTGGTACAGGGTATTCACAGATGCCATGATCTGGTCAAAACGCCCAGTCAGGCCTCCCAGTGTCACGATTACATCAACCTAAGCAAGGCAGGTAGAACCGAGAGAGTCACACATTTAAAGAATTTTATATTAACTAAACAGCACCAAACCCCTAAAAAGAGGTTCCGATCTTATATTCTATTTGATTAAGAGCAAAACAGATACCATTTCTGTTGATTGGGTGTAGAAATTAAATAACTGTTCAAGTTCAAATTCATATAAGTAGAGTGAGGTGTCAAGATCAACTCTTTAGTGATGAAATTCAGTCTTTCCCATTTGCCTATTTACATAGAAAACTAGCTAACTCTCCCTCTAAACAGCCTTTTACTCATTAGGTGTTCCTTTTGCGTGGATGTCTTCTCTAATGTATGATGTTTCCTCATAGTCAAAGCTGGTATGTATGTACACAGACACACTTTTTTTCAGAGTGAACCCAGAGCCTTGCACATGCTAGTTCTACCAATGAACTACACCTTCCACCTAAAGCTAGTATATTGATGATGAAAGAGGAAGGTGGGAGAATACACTTAAATTAACTTTGTAAGAACATCTTATACATATAAAGAATGACAGTAATAACTGTGCTATTTGGTATACTTGTTTAACAATAGACAATATTTCACTTTTAGGATTTAAAAAGCACATTAAAAAAGCTTAGATAACATGTCCATAAAGATGGCATGATTTTAGAACAACCTGTTACATGACCACCAACAGAACCTATTCAATTCCTAGAGTAAAAAGAAGCAGTGTTAGCTCAAAAATCCAAAGGTTGTTTTCACTTTTCAATTTTTGGTTAATGGTTACAGCTGTTTCTTTGAATAGTGCCCAACACATATAAATGCTCAAGAGTTCTATGAATGAATACATGAAGATGTTGCAAGACTCATTAGCCTAACAGATTCACTGCCATGCTGTGGGAATATATAAATCAAAATGGGCTTTATGAAAACATTAAAAAGAAATTATACAGAAGAATAAGAAATTGAGAATGTTTTCTATTTTTGATCTTACTAGAATATAAGGGAGAATGAGAATTTTTACTTTTAATAAGATACTTCCAAGATTTAGATTTGAAGACCATAATGACCTACTGCCCTAGGAAGCACATAGTACTCTGAATTATAGGTAAAGACAGAAACATCTGCTACTCTTTGGAGGAAAGCGGCAACTTGTAAGCAATTAGACTTGCCAAAGAGATGGCTTCCATTTGGGGTATTAAGTTAGGTAAATAGCTTGTTTGTGTTAGGAAATCTTTGGGATGCCTACTCCATTACAATTGGGAAAGGTCTAGAGAGGATAAATGGCTTTAGGAAAAAAAAGAAAATTTGCTTTAAATTGGGGAGAAATACAATAAAACAAGTTGTGTTTGAGATAGAGAGACAATTTTAGGATTCTAGTGAAAAGAATATTAAGATATTCCTATTGACATAATCCTAATTCACATCAGAAGCAAGACCTGATAGAAGTTTATTCACTATGCAGATTTTGGAATCATTTTTTTTTTTCAGATTTTCAATTTTTCATTACTACATTCTGGGCCTTGAGGGATCTCATAACCTTTAAGACTGTAATTTAATTCCCATCTTCTACAATGGGTTACCATGATGAATAAGCAGTATCTGGAAATCAGTCACTGAATTTTTCAGAAGAAAGAAATGGCAAGATTACTTTTCATCACTACTCATTTTCCCTACAGGAAGTATTTAGCAAGACTGATTAAAAATATTAGCAGATGAATTCAAGCTGCAGGTGGGGTAGGTGAAGGATGGGATTCCAGTCATTTCTGCAGTACTCCAATTTAGCTGTGATTATCACATGGTATTCAGAGATGAAAGTATTAGAAGTTACTCCTTCGTGGATCTACAAGGCTAGGGTTCTGTCTTTGAGACAGTAATTCATTGGGACAGGGTGTTCAAGCAAAGCAGAACATATGTGGGCTGCAAAGTGACTTCTCTATGTGAAGCCAAAGCCCTGTGCACCTAGTCATGCTTTGCTATAACCTTTGATATGCCTGAGTGTATTTCCTTCCAAAGGAAGCTCATGAATCACAGATACCAGCAGTGTCCGTAACAGAGTAGATAGACAAGCATTTACTGAGCTTTCCCTAAGCATATAAAAACTGAGGATAAAAACTGAAGATAATAACCAGAGGGGCAAGAAGCTGATTATTAGACTGAGATAACATCAACTAATTTCTACAAAATAGTACTTCCTCATTTGGCAAGGGTTTCAAAAGTTACCACATTTAGAAAAAGTGAACATCACATTTATTATCTCAAATATGCATTTGAAAAATTTATAACTTTCATTTTTAACTCAATGACCAATATCAACAAATCAATAAATATTTATTGATCATCTATAATGCACTAGGAAATATTATAAACATTTAAGATATATCACTGAAGAAAGCAAATGTCTCTTCCTACACTGGGCTGATGTCCTAATGGAGGATAACATACACTAGATAAAACTTCAGTTCTATACATTAGCTAGAATGTGGAAAAGGCAGTTAATGCTAAAAGAACATAATAGAGAAAGCAGATCAAACATGATAGTTGGGAGCAGGCTTCATCTTTAAATAAGGTAGTTACCATAGGCTGCACTGGGAAAGTAAGGGAGAAACAGCAAAGATCTAACAGAGGTGGAGGGAGTAAGCCACACACACCAAAGCCCCAGCAGAAGTTGGTGGGGGCTGTTTCAGAGAGCAGCCTGGAGCAAAGTCATACAAATTACCAACCCCAGGCATTTTCAAAGAGCTGTAGGAGGCTAGTGCTAAAGGTGAATTAGAAATCAGTAGGAGCAGTATAAAAACTCAGTACCATGGAAGTGCTAGATTCATATAGTTCTGTCCTGAACACCAGGCTCATGTGTCCAACTGCTTACAAAAAAGATACAGTAACACAAACTTTCTTTTCAATGAACTATGCTGCCATAAATAAAGATAAACTTGAGCCATTCATAGGTAAATGGATGTAAATGGAGAACATAATGCTAAGTGAAATAAGTCAGACACACAAGCTCAAATATCACATGGTTTCTCTTATATGAAAAGTGAAATAAAGAAATACATATGAATGCATACACACAAAAAGCAAAATAGAAGAGATAAATAGGAAGTAGGGAGAAATTCAAATACTTCCCCAAATTACATATTCTGTTGTTTTAAAAATATTTCAATATATATGCTAATTTTTTTCATTTATAGTAAAAAGTTTATCTCCTACTTCTTGAATATGCCAGTTCTTCCTATTTGAAAGACTGTGTTTTATGATAACCACTTGGCTGGCTTCTTTTCCTGCTTCACTGATTACCTGTCAAAAACCTTCCCCTCTTCCATGCTGACACTTCATATTCCCTTTTCCAGCCTTAAATGCTCTCCCTAGCATCTCTCATAATCTAATACCATACTAATGACTTATTTAGCATGTTATTATTAGTCACAGTGCTTAGTTAGTAAATTACACAGAGACAGAGATTTCCCATCTCTAGTCCTTAGGATGGAGCTAGGAGACTAGAGCATATCTCTTGAACAAATTAATGAATGAAACAAGGGCTGGACAGAAACAGATCATGGCCAATACATCTAAGTATTGGGAAAGATGAAGAATTGCCAGAGTCAGGGTGAATGAGAGCGGGGCAGACAGATAAGTGAGATTAAAAAGGCTTTGTAACTTTTTATAGACAAGCTTAAGATGTATGCATAAATTTAAGTAACTGAGGTAGCTATGAAAACAAGACAATAAATAGAAATTAGTTCAAGGAAACCAAAAGTGGGTGTACTGGGAGGTACATTTGAATGTTCACACAATCGACCATGAATTAAGACAATATTGTTGAAAAAAAAATGTAACTTAGAAGTTAACTGCTTTAAGTTATGAAGGGAAATGGCCAAGACTAACAATGAAAACTATAGCAATAATCAAGAAGAGAGAAATGATCAGATGACATGAGATTCAGAACTGGGAATTCTTAGGGATGAAGAATGGAATAAAAGAGTACTGTCTAAATGAAATAAAATGAGAGTCATAAATGGAATATTAAATTTTCTAATAATTACATTTAAAGAAGAAATAGGAAAGAGGTGAAATTAATTTCATATATTTTAATGCAGTATATCTAACATCATAATTTTAAAATGTAATCTGTATTTAAAAGTTGAAATATAATACAGTCTTGCTTATTCATGTGGTCTTCAAAATCCTCAGTGCAGTTTACATGAAAGCACATCTCCATTTGGCCTAGCTACATGTTAACTGCCCAGCTGGTTGATTACTAGCATTTTGAACAGTGCAGGTCTAGAAAATGCAAAGGGTAGTGAAGACTCCTACCCCTGCTTCCAGGGCTCAAGTTAAAAAAAATAGTGGAGCACAAACACACACACACACACACCAGCACCACTACAGCTGCAGAGCATTACTGTCCTTAGGTGAGGGCCCATATTCAGCTGAAGAGAAAATTGGTGACATTGGGAATAAAGATTTTGGTGACAGTGGACCATGAATTTCAAAGGTCACTAAATGAGAGGTTATATATTCTAGGGCAAGTTTAGAATATTCCTACCACTCTCTAAAGAATATAAGCTATTCTCAGAGACCAACATGTTTATTATTGGTTGTTGACAGATCAAGGATTAACTGTTTCTAATTTTAAAAAGCATCATTAAAATTCTATTATCCTAACATGTATATTTTAATATACTTGTTTTAATTGACAAGTAAAATTTTTATATATGTATGCTGTTCAACATGATATATACACATATACTGGGATGGGAGAGGAATGGTTAAATCAATTTATTTTGCACATGCTTTACTTCACACACTATTTTGTACTAAGAACACTTAAAATCTATTCTCGGTCATTTTCAAGTATACAGTATGTTGTTTCTAACTACAGTTACCAGTAGATCTCCTGAATTTATTACTCCTAACTAAAATTTTGGGTCCTTTGATTTATGTCCCCCCCAGTCTCCTTACCCTCAGCATCTGGTAAACATTATTCTACTCTCTGTTTCTATGAGTTCAATTTTTTTA